GTAATGCACTCCAGATCATACAGCAGGTCCCTAGTGGAGCTAGGACTTGAACCTAGGTCATTGCTCTTTCTGCTCCACCATAAACAAAACCTGCAAGGATGGGTTAACTACCCCAGAATTGCTCTCACATCATTCTGACTTCAGTTTGTGGTCTGATCATAAACTGATGAGTTCCTAAAGCTATAACATTTAGCTTGGATCTCAAGCCACTGCTATTTCAGCTTTGGATTTGATCACAGTTTCACCAAGGGCCTGTCTCATCATTTCTCTGCAGAGAGAGAGAGAGAGAGAGAGAGAGAGAGAGAGAGAGAGAGAGAGAGAGAGAGAGAGAGAGAGAGTGTGTGTGTGTGTGTGTGTGTGAGCTTCACCTTCAAGTTTCCAATTTGGAACTTCTTAGACACATAGAATAGTGGCACATAGAATGGGGACATTTCTAACTGTGGTTTTCTTCCCTGAAATGATTTCACTAGGGACTCAGGTAATTCTTTCTTGAAGACTTGGTTTCAGGCTTTCTTTCTGTACAAATATATATACTAGCACTGTATTCTTGAATCTCTCTCAGAAGATTCTATCAATGCAAAGCCAAATGTGATTTTGCACCAGTTAGAAACAGAAGCTGTGGCTTCAGACAATATTCATGGCTAGTGATTACTCTAAAAACAAAAACAAAAACAAAAACAAAAAACCTAAAAGCCTAAAATGAAAAGCATCGAATCCAGTTATTCAGAAAGACTTTCCAAGCCCTCACTTGTCACAGTGGAGCTGGGTAGAGCAGCAAGGGACTAGGTTACCCCTCTGGCCAGGTGTCACACTGGACTCAGAGAGTAGTGGAGATAAGGTTGGCAGTCAGGACTAGAAAGACTAGAAAGGATGGGAACATAGAGTAAGTACAAGTTATAGGCATGGTCTAGACCAAGGGAATACATGAAACCCTCAAATGGAGCAATGGGTCAAAGGTCGATCAACTTTAAGGCTGAAGGGATAAGAAATTGTAGATGTCATCAATGCAAAGTTAAACAGCATTTGGGGAGGAAGAGGGGAGGCTTAGGAGTTTGGCAAACTATGTGCAATGCTGCTTATAGATTGCTCCAAATTTTTTCAGGAGGATTTTAAATTTCTTTAGGCAAGTCATAGAACACCAAGGAGGTTACATGGTATACACGTGTTCATGCCTGTGTGTGTATGGGGGGTGTGAAGGGAGGGAAAGGGAGGAGAGAGGATGGAGGTGGGAAAGAGAACTAGTCTAAGAGTCAGTGGGATGGGTTCTAGTCCTAATCTACAACTAACTCATTGAGAGACCTTAGATAAGTGATTTTCTGGTCTCAGTTGCTCCACCTGTATGAGGGGGGGTTGGGTTGAATTGCTCCCACCTCTCTGAGCCTCCATTTTCCCACCAAGTCATGTTTTACTCTGTTAACTAATCTTACCTCTTCTTTCGTTCCAGCCTAGGCCTTACTACTGACCCACTTTGGCCAAGTGGGCAGAGCTCATTGGAAGAGCTGAGATGTTGTCCTGACCCTGAAATGGCAACTCTTGCCTAATCCCCCATCTTCCCTCCTCCCCTCTTTCTTGGTAAAGTCCTTATTCTTGCTCATTGAAGCCTAATTTGCAAGCTTGTTTATGAGAACACAACTGAGTCATCACCTAGGAACCGTTCCTCAGGTTGGATGGAGCAGCCAAAGCTCAAGAGATGCAGCCACAGAAGGGTAAGTGATGGCAATGAGGTAAAGGCAGGCATTGCCACCAAGAGCAGCTTCTCTACTCAAGATGCCACCTCAATGGCTGCCACCTCCATTTAGCCACACACCCTGCCTTGGCCCCCATGCACACTGCCTGCAAAATGCTCCCTTTCTCTTCCCAGGTCTTGCCTCTCCTCCCTCAATGGGCATTCCATAGCTGGGGCAGGCTGGCGGGGTCTGGAGGTGCAGGGCTCACAAGGTGGTGCCTCCTGCAGTCTAGCCAGCACAGAAGTGCCCTGCTAGTGGGAGGCCTTGCCTCCCAGTGTTCCAAGGAGGGTGTTTGTGTACTCAGCTGAAAAAAATGAGAGCAAACAGGCAGAAATGCTCTGCTCCCTCTCCCTCAGGGATGGAGCCATGGTAGGAGATAACTTAGAATATTTGGAAGCAGGATGGCAGAACCAAGCATAGCACGTTGTAAATATCCCACCAATACAGCACCTGAATGGTTCATAGATAGGGCTGGAAAACACTCAGGGGAGAGAGGCAAGGTGGGAAACCTGAGAACATTCTCTTGGCTCCCAGAGACCCCAATTCCAAGGCTTGCTGTAACTCTTTGCTTAGTGTTTATGAGTCAAATCACAGGCGACGTCGGGTGTCTCACATCTGAGCCATTTTTCCTGGATGGATTCCATCCCTGGCCAAGGCAGAAGCTGCAAGCTGACACCTGGGCCATCTTTCTCTTTGTGTGACAGAGAAGGTTCCCATCTGTCTGCCCCTTCCTATCCTCCCCTCAAGAGGAAAAAAAAAAAGGATGTCTCCAGTAGCCCTCCGGTGCTGGGTGCTATGCTGAGGCTACTTGGGCTTTCTTACCAAAGCCAGGTTCAAAGGATGCTGACTACAGGGGAGGGTACTGAACCTTGGCTGGGTTCTCTCCCACTGCCCAGTAGTCTGCCCCTGCCACTGAAGAGGGCATGACTACCCCCAGCAGAGCCAAGGTGGTTGGAGGAAAAAGGAGCCAGTGACAGACACTGCCATGAACCCAGCTGGCAGCTGCATCTTGTGCCTTTGGGCACTCGACAGCCGTGGTGTTTCCTTCCCAGTGCCTGGCAACATTTCCCCCCTACCTGCCTAGAGTCTGGGCTTTGCTCTTTGTGGGAAAAGAGGAGCATTCGACCCGTCTGGGAGCAGCTTGGCTCTGCTCTTGCCTCAAACACTTTGGGGATGCTGAGGGGGGGGTTACCTTTTCTGCCTCTCATAGGGGAGTCCTTCCAGAGCTCTCTGCAGCCAGGGAACGTTAGAATAAATTGAGGAAATATAAGCAGCTCCACTGAATGCGGAATTTATTTCTCACTCATTTCCTGCCTTGGAAGGAGCCAATTCCATATGTTTTGATAACATAATAATATAAAAAAGTTTAGTGGAAACTAACTCTCTCCAACTGCCCACCCTCCCCAAAATAGCCCCTGGAAGAGGTTGCCTGGCTTGCGGGGATCAAGGTCTGAGGGAAGGAAATCAAACTTTGCAAAAGCCGTGCCTTACCATCAGCCTGGGAGCCAGCGGCCCCCTCCAATGCCACGCAATCCTTCATTTTCCCCTTCTCGGCTGAGAGGGCAGAGCCATCCTCCTTCAGCTGTATCGAAGGCTAGCTGCCGCCGCCTCGAGATAAGAGCTAAGCAAACAGATCAGCCCATCCTACCCCAATCCACCCCCACTCCATATACGCCCCCTCCTCGGCCTCCTTGGCCAAGGCTCAACACCCCTTCCACAACCCACTCCCTCGCTACTGGATCGATAAAAGTGAAACGCCTTGAGATTTGCAAACCACAGATTTGCTTAAAAAACAGATGAAAATTGTTCTAAACGGATTTACGAGCCCGTGGCAAAAGGGACCGCGATCGATCGAACTCGCTGACAAATCACCACAAAATAAGCAGGACAATAGACTCCTTGAGGCTACGTTGCTCCCCGGTTTTTTATTTACAAAACGCCCTCGTCATAAAGACAGGCAGGCAGGTAGACGGAGCTCTGCCCAGATGTCGGCTTCTCTGAATGGCGCTAGTCTTAGTCCAGGGAATGCCCCCAACACAGATGCTGCTGACCCGGGCCGGAATCGATTCGACTTCGTGTCTAGCCTCCTTTTAGGACAAACTTGGGTGCAGGTCAGAGATCTGGCTGGCTAAGCAAGCTCTCCAGGCTTGCGGGTTAGCTTAGCTGAGCTAGTTTGACTAAAAGCTAGGCTCCTTCATAGGTCTGAAGCTCCGAGAAACTGAGGCATGCCTATGTAGGTTGAGGAGTGGAGGGAATAGATTCGTTGTCATCAGCATCTGAGGACCCACTAACTTCACTGGACTGAGAGCTTCAACAGAACCCAGGGGAACCACGTTAGAAAGAGTAGCCTTCAGAAGTAGGCTTACAGCTTGGTTGGCTGCCCTTGACCGTGGGGGCTCACCAACTGGCCTGGGCGGCTGTGGCGGTTTGGTAACCGCGGAGAACCTAAGAAGATGGGGGAGGGGAGCAGAGGGAGCAACGAACCCCTACCTCCCACCCCCTCCCCACCCCACCCCCAACCGGCTCTTTGGAGTTCGGTAGAGGAAGGGAGCAAGGAGGTAGGAGTCTGAAGTTTGGAGGGAGGCTTGGTGCTCCTGGCCCCGTTCAGGGTAAGGGGGATAATGAGTGCCTGGGCCCGGGCCGCTCCAGCTCTCCTTCCCTGTCTGCCTCCCTTCCCTGCGTCGTAGTTGGGGAACCTGGAAGGGAAAGGCCAAGCTAGGGCAGGGAAAGGCCAAACTGGAGATCTCAAAGCCCTGCTGAAGGATTCCTCTGGCGCAAAGGAGGTGGCGCGTTCCCTCTGGCCCGAATCGGTCCCCCCCTCCCCCAGAGGCTCTCTCGCCCCCGCCGAATCCAGCCCAGCCAGCAGAACCCAGCTGAGCCCCCCCCCCACACCCACCCCGCTAATCCCCAAGACAATCTGTTGCTGCCCGGCCGGCTGCCGAGCGGTGAGCGGCGGCCGGCCGAGCTGCGTGCGCCCCTGCTGCGGCAGCCCCCACCCCGCCACCCCGGGCCTGGCCCCGCACCCGGGCAGCCCTCGGCGGTAGCTGCGGTGGTACAGGGCAGCGAGGTGCGCAGGGCGGCCGGGCAGGCAGGGCACAGCAGGGCAGACGGGCAGGCTGGGCAGGACAGAACAGGGCACAGCAGGGCAGACGGTCAGACTGGGCAGGGCAGAACAGGGCACGGGCAGGGCAGACGGGCAGGCTGGGCAGGACCGGTCAGGGCACGGCAGGCAGACGGGCCAGTGGACCTGGGCTCCGCCGCCTGCACACTCACCTACAGGATCCGCGGCTCAGGCTCTACATCCTCAGGGGTCCTGGGCGGGGGGTGCCGAGCACGGGGCCGCCTCCTCGCCAAGCCGGCCGGCCGGCGACCTCCCTCCGACTGTCCGTATGTCCGTCGGTCCGGGGGCAGGAGGCACGGGGCTCTGCGGGGCGGCCAGAGGGGCTGCCCTGCGCCGGGCGCGGAGGGACTGGCGGGAGAAGGGGGCTCTGCCCCTCCCCCGCAGGGACTCCCCAACTTCCTTCCCCCCTCCCCCTGCTCGCCGGGGCTGCTCTGCTCTGCTCTCCCCGGAGTCCCCGGCCCGCAGACGGGCACGGTGCCCGGCTGCTTCTCCCTCTTCTTCTCTCTCTCCGCTCTGGCTGGCCGTCCGGCCGGCCGTCGGGTCGTCGGGCCTGCCCAGAGCCGGCTGCCTCACGCCTCTTCTGGCCCCCGGCTGCCTGCCTGGCTCCCACACGCGCCGAGCAGCACAACAAAGGGAGCGACACTGACACGGGGAACCTGCCACGGGAGAGAGCGCCCCGCGCGCTGGCTGCTCACGCACGCGCACACGGCCGCGCGCCCCGGCCCCCCGGGCGCCCCGCGCGCGCACGCGCACACACCCGCACCCGCGCACACACCCGCACCCGCGTACCGGCTGCCGGCCGGCGGCCAGGCCAGGCGGGAGGAGGGAGCCGGGGCGGCCTCCCCGCAGCGGGTGGGGGAGGGTTCGGCCCCACCAAGGCTTCGTGCGGGGGCCGGGGGCAGACCTGCCCCAGGGCCCTGCCTGCTGCGCCCCTCGCATCCCCGGGGTGCCTGCTCCTCTTCATCGCCCCCAACCTTCTCCCGAGCCTTGGGGTACCCAGCGGCCAGCTGGTCCCTGGAGCTGGGTGCCCGCAGGCTCCTGGCCACCCGGGGCCAGTCTGCCTGCCTGTGTGTGTAGCGGGAATGGGCGTGGGGGACTGGGGCCATAGTATGGGGAGCAGAAGAGATCATTTCTGGCGGGCTGGGGGCAGGCCTGGTAGGGGTTAATGTTCCCCTATGTATAGGCACCAAGACAAGCACCCACCACCGAGCACGGCTCTCCCCCTGTCCTGGCTAGGGGCCCCCATGGCTAGGGGCCCCAGATGGCTTTTCGTGGTCCTTTCTCTGCTCTCTCCTCTCCTTTTGCTGAGCCATGCCTGTGGCTGCCAGCCACTTTCCCGGGCCAAATCCTAGGTCAAACTGAGAGTGGCCTGAGACCCCTCCCTCGGTACCTTTCCGTCTCCCTAGTTTTCCTGTGACCATCTAGCCTGTGGGGAGGGGGGCACTGAGAGTCTGGGGTCCCTTGAAAGAACAGCAGGGGACATTCAGGGTGCCTTCTTAGTTAGCAGCCTGGTAGGTTTCCTAGCTCTGAAGTCAGGTTTCTTAGACAGCCCAGTCTTAGGCCCAGGGTTTGGAGACCGAGAAGGTACCACTGGACCTGGGAATGAAGCTTCCTCACCAGTGCCAACTCCAGTTAGGTATTGTTTGAATGATTCCGTGGACTCTCTGGGCAGTCTGGGCAGCGTCTTTCTGGGCCTACAATTGGCCTCCATCTGCTCCTGCCTGCAAGGTGGGCAGTGCCAACAAAAGGAGCCTTGGCCCTGGGCAAGCCTTTGGGACAGCTTAACTTGCCTGCCTCCCCCCTGCCCCCTTCTCTGTAGTTTGCCTGGACTGGAGCTGTTACTTTGCTGCTTCAGTTGCTACCACTCAATTAGAGGCTGCAGAAAATGGAGGGCGCCCTCATATCTCGTTGGGGGAGGAGAGGAGGGGAGGAGGCTTGTCTTCTCCATAAACTCCTGATACAAAATGAGAACCCTTCACATTTAGGGCCTCCCAAAGAGTCTCCAAATATTGAGCATCACTGAGGGCTGCATTTACATACTCTCCACCAAATGCTTAGGACAATTGCCTCCACCTATGTTTGGCTCTGGCAGGTGGTGAACACCCTGGGCTCTCCAGAGCTGAGTCCCTGAGGCAGAAGTGTGACCAGGTTCAGCCACACTTGGGAGTCTCTCTGGTGGTCTGGTGATCACGATGCTGAGCCTTAAGCAGCACAGCTGAGTTCCAAGAGCCTCATCAGCAGGTTGACCAAAGTCCAACAGGAAATGTTAGCCACAATAAGTCTTATCTGATAGATTGCATTGTGGATGAATTAAGGGGAGGTGGGGCAGGGGAAAGGGAAGGGCATAATCCCTACCTTGGCTCCTTCACTCTTGAGTCAAACTTGGAAGTTCACCCAATGAGAGAATGGATGTGAAAGGACTTTCTAAAGTTAGTCCTCTCCAAATGGAAGCATTGACTCAAGTCAGCAGGAAGGGGCCCCTTAATGCTTATGTAGGCAGTCAGTCACTGGGCCCAGGGGCTCATGGGGAAAGTCAGCTTTGAGGAATGTGCCCAATGAGATAGCTTATGTCAGCTTGGGGGTACAGAGGGTAAGCTTCCACAGTCAGTGGGAAGGAGCTCCTCCCATTTCCCATTTTTCTGGCTCTAATAAGAGCTAGTTGGCACCCTGGCTCCATGTACTCTCACAGGCAACTTTGCAGCTGGTGGCCAAGTCCAATAGCAATTATCTGATGGCTTCCAGCGTTGGTACCGATGGAAGCTGACACTTCTATGGGACCATTTTAAAGGTTGCCAAGTGCTTTACATTCATTCTCAGATCAGAACCACACCCCAAATCAAGTTCCGCTCATTTCAAGGTCTTGGCCATTGTTGTGACGGAAGGCATAACATGTGTAGATGGAGGCTTAGTGAGCTCAGCTATGAAGGGGGACAAGAAGAGTTCTGATGGTGAGGACATTAAGGTACCATCAGCACATGGCTCAGACTCTTCAACTCAGCACCTTTACCACCCAAACCCTCCTTAGGCTTTGTCTCTAGGCGTGAACTGGTTTGAAAAACATTTTTATTGTGAAGTTTTTTTTTAACATTATAAATGTAAGGCAGAACGTGAAGGATTTGTGAAGTTGTCCATGCAAGGTGGTGCAGTGGACAGAACTTTCCATTTTGAGTGGAAGGACCTGGGTTGGTTTCCTGGCTTTGATACTAACTGTGTGACCTTGGGAAAGCTACCACCTCTCTAAGCCTCAGTTCCTTCATCTGTAAAATGGGAGAATCGGGCTCTTTTGTAATCATCTCTTAGCCAGAGCATTTGTCACTGGCACTCCAGCCTCCAGTCACAGTGAACGTCAATAGACACCTCAGTAACTCTTCATGTTGGTCTGGGGCACCTCTACAGACTTTTCCAGGCCACAGAATCAGAATTTTAGATTTGGGAAAGACATCTCATGCAACCCCAGGAGAGCAAGAATCCCCACTACAACACAACTTCTAAGTGGGCACCTAAGGTCTTGAGGCCCTCAGTGCCAGGGAACCCACTACATCTGGATCTAGCCCACCCCATTTTAGGAATTTCCCATATATCTTGGTGGTCTCTCTGCTACTTCTACCCATTGCTTCTAGCTCTGTCCTTTGGGACCAGGAAGAGAAAGCTCCTCTACCAAAGAAGGCCCTTTAAATATCTGAAGAGAATGGTCATACTCTTCCTAAGTATTCTCTCTGCTGGGCTAAACATCTCCAGTTCCTTCAACCAATCCTGAGATGGCATGACCATCATCCTGGTCGCCCTTGTTTGAGTATACTTTAGTTCATCAATAGCCTTCTTAAAACACGGCCTGAAAGCTGAAGGCTCATCTCCAGATTTGGCCTGACCTGGGGAGAGTCCACTAACATCATCACCTCCTTGGTCCTGGACAGTGTGCCTCCTCCAGTGCAGCCTAAATGCTCATGACTTTCTTAGTAGCACTGGCTCATGCTGAATCTGTGGTCCACTAAGTGCTCCAGAACTTTATCAGATGAAATGCTGTCTAGTCTTATCTCCCCCAGCTTGTGAAGTTGATTTTTGAAGCCAAGTCTAGGAGTAGTTTTTCAAAGGACATGTTGACTTGACTTACAAATTGAAGTTGCCCTTTGATGGTCAATTGCTGAACTATCTTCCTCAATGTTATATGTCTCCCATTGCCTCCTCAATCCATCAGTACCTTCCTTTTTCCATCCTCTCCTTTCTGTTGAAACCTGATTCCAGGAAAGGATTTGATAAACTCTTTTGCACAGCTAAGACAATGTGTGACCTCCAGTAGTAGCTGCATTTTAAAATGGGGCACAAAGCCATAAGCCATGGAAATGATGCTCTTAATTGTAGCATTTCATTGTGGGGACCATTCCATGAGCCAATCCCACCTCTCAGATGAGCTTTGACAGCTCACACTAACTGTAGATTATGCATCAGTCTCTACAGCCATCTTCAAACATCGATAACCATTTGCAACATGGAAATTTACAGTTCAATAAAAGGCATAATATTTACTTGGTGACCAGTTTTAAAATTCCATCTCCACTGTCTTGGTCCCTCACTTGGTGTCTTTTTAAATTGTCATGAGTTATTAGGGAATGACATCGACATCTCAGCCTGTCACCTCCCTTTGCTGTCCCCTAAACCCATCCTCATGTTGCCTTTAAAGAAGCCAGATGAATAAAAGAATACAAAGGAAGAGAGGAAAAAAAGCATTTGTGATGATGGTGTTACCTGAGATGGCTTGCTGCAGAGGGAGGGGGAGGTATTTGGAAATGAAAGTAATATAGAAATAGAAAGCAGCAACAAAACAAAGCACTTTAAAAAAACCAAACCTATCTGACCTATCCAAGTTTGGTTTTATGGAGAAAGCCACAAGTAGATGTTTGGCCTTAGAAAATGGGGTAGGGGATTCTTTTGAAATTTCCCCTAAAATTACATTCAGTGCCAGAATATTTCTTCCAGGAATCATCACCATTAGCTACTTTACTAAAAGTCTTTTTTGCATGATCAAAAATACGCACACGCGTGCCTAATTCTCAGTTGCAGAGCAAGCCCCTTGCAGCTCCCCAGAACTCAAGCCAAACCTAAAAGGATAGAGTTTTGCCTGCCCCCAGAGCAAGCAGGGAGAATCAGCTGCCACTGTCACTCTGAACTTAGGACTAAAAAGTGAGGTAAGAAGCCCTCTGT